TTTAATCAAACTTTGCACAATCCACGAGAAACACCCCACTAGCAGCTCTTAACGCAATGCTGAACTTAAGGCCTATGTGTCTCAGCATTAAGTGGCAGATAGCGCGTAGAGCCCTAAGGCTGAATGAAACAAATCTATGGCGAAATTGTACCTTTGGACATTGATGTATCCTGAAGGAATTAGGTATGACTTTGGACCAACTCGTAAAATTAATCGACTTTATATCACCAGTACTGAAATTTGACGATATAGAAGATGTCGTTATCTCTAGTAGAGAGTAGTAGAGAGACTGGAACCGCAGCAACCCTCCTCTGGACGGGTCTGGATTTTTATACAGACGGATACAATATGGAAGAATGTACAGGGGCTGGCGTCTACTGTGAAAGGCTAGGCCTTGAGTTTATCTACAAACTGTATCTTCGCTATTTGGAAGGCAGCGGAATTGATAAAAAGTCTGGATGCAGATATCGTTGAACTATCTTTGTGGATAGTCAGGTGGCTCTTAAAGCCTTCAAATCCTGTTTTATCGAATGTGAGGTAGTCCTCGACTGTATAGCAGTTTTGAAAACACTCACAGCTATCGGCTGTGTTGGGTACCTGGACACCGTGACATCACGGGTAATGAAAAAGCAGACGAATAAGCTAGACAAGGATCTCAATCTACAGATCTAGCAATCGATTGCTCAACCAAACCATCCATTTGTCATCTTTTTCGGAACTTTGAGGCGTTCTTCGACGAACGAGCCAATGAACTTTGGCAAAACGAACCTAGGTGCAATGCGTCAAGATCTATCTGCCCGATTCTGTCAACCAAGAGAACAAGCTGGTCAGTGCAATATGAGGGCCTTTACCAGTAAATGGGACCATGGTGTTACTGATTACTGCAGACTCTGTGCTTACGAGGAGGAGACGGATACAATTGAGCATCTCCTGTGTCGTTGTCCATTTCTGGCCTACAGACGGCACAGACTAGCGGCTGTTCACTTTTTCTGTCCAATTTCAATAGCCATCGAAACTATTCCCACCTTCCTCCTAATAATTATAGCTTCTTATTCTTTCTTTTTACATAATTATGAGTTCCTGCACCTAGCTCAAATCCGTATAGACTAATTGACAAACAAGTAAACAAGTGTCAGTCGGTGTTGCCGACCGTATATAGCTGCCCTCACCCTATGGATTTATAAATATAGAAAATTTCGACCCTCTGTGGGGGAGGTATCAGAAGAAGTGGACCTATGGGTCCCATCTTCCAACTTGATCTAGGCTTAGTAAATACAATATCTTGAGCAAAGTTTGGTTCTAATTGGACATTCCTTTCGCCTGATATTAGATTTAATAATATTGAACATTTTGACCATTTGTGAGGGAGGTACCAGAAGGAGTGGACCAATGGGTAACATCTTCCTATATGATCTAGGCTTTGTTAAGATCATAGATTGTACAAAGTTTGGTTCAAATTGGACATTCCATTACCCTGATATTGGATTTATAAATATTGAAAATTTTGACCATCTGTGGGGGATGTACGAAGGAGTGGACCAATGGGTCCCATATTCCTACTTGATCTAGGCTTGATAAAGATAATAGGTTGTACAAAGTTTCGTTAAAATCGAATAGTCCGTTTGCATGTTATTATAATGGTAATGTTTAGCATAATTTTGACCATTTTGTGGGCGAGGTACCAGAAGGAGTGGACCGATATTCCCCATCATCGAACATAAACTAAGTTTGGAAGAAACATTAAATGTGCAAAGTTCGAGAGTTATCGAACCAGACAAGCGGACGGACGGGCATGTCTAAATCAACTCCAAATTTTTTGAAACGGATTTGGTACAAAGAAAAATGATGTCTAAAACCAATATTTCGATGAGGCACATTTTCACCGTATCAAAGTGTATATACCCTCATTGGCCATAAGGCTGAGAGTTTGGGAAGTGGGCTGTATAAAGACCCCTATTATTTCTTCTTAATGTTTGATACATCATTACGGCAATCGACCTGTTCACAAAATTATTTAATTTTGTATTTTGATTCAATTCGAACCTATACTAATTCAAGAATGTCCCTATAAATTTTCAAGTGAAAATATCAAAAATTTTTGAAGATATAGCCGATTTATTGTGCTAGCATTAATTGACGGCAAGAGGGCTTCTCAAACTTAAAACGCATTTTTCTCCAAACAGCGTTTTTGCGAATGGCGGGCACGATAACTCAAAAACTAATAATCCGATCGATTCCGAATTTTGGGACGTTTCTCTGTGAGTGTATAGCTAGCGTATGAACAAGGATAAAGCCAATCGGTGAAGATCTTCCTTATTTTTTAACTTGGGTTTTGGTAAAAAATCGGCGATATTCCAAAAATATTTTTTCAGAGGTCCACCATTTTGTTAATTTTAGAGCGAAGTTAATAATCCTAGTTCATACGAGAGCCAGACATGTACTCTTTCTAACACCGTTGGAATTTTCGGATTCCGATGTCCCAGTGAGGAGTTATCGTGCCCGCCATCAAAAATAAGGACTTTTCTTGAATCACAAAAAAAAAAAAACAAAAAACTTTTTTTGTAAATTATTTTTTTTTTCCTTTTTAAATCTTCAAATATGTATGTGCAAAGTTACAAACCTTAACATGCATTGGCATTCATTTACCAGCCCATTTAAAATCTTAAAAATAAAAAAATCGAGAATGTGGGGTTCCCTTACGCTTTTTTTATTTCATGTTTTATTCCATCTGCTTGGCGCGAAAATTGTTCAGTTTTTGCAGCGTGCTTTCTTCTAAAAGGCATAACATAGTCTACCTCGTCCGACGTTGATCATTTCCTTACTTTCGTTGTGCTTCAACTAGGCTGATGCTTTACTAATTTTCTTTCGATTTTGAAAATAAAAAAAATTTGTTTTTAATTTGCTCTACAAATAATTGATTTTATTTGGAAATCAAATCGAGAATCGACAATATTTTATATAGCCTTTCGACAAAATTCTGTTCTGCTTATTATCAATTTTGAAAATCATTGATTATCAACACATTACTAAGTGTGCGGACACGTTGCGAATTTAACTTTCCTGATAACTAATGTTTATTAGGTGCGATTATTTATGGCCTCCCTTAATAATGTTGTTATTGTTATTGTTTTTTTTTTTTTTGCTATTTTTAAATTTTATTTACTATTCTATTCACTATGCATTCAATTCCATTTGAAGCACGTGGTAGTAGAACAAATTAATCCCTTGTTTCTGAGGGTCTTAGAGGAACAATATATATATTTTTCGTAATCTTTATAGCTTCAATATATGATCCGAATTAATATATAGATATCAAAGAATGTGTACAATAACCGATTACAATTGGTTATAACAAAAATAACAAATTATTTTTATTATAGAAAACAGCTGGCCAAAAACCTGTTCTTGTCTGTTATTATTCGCATTCGTGGTTTTGGCGTGAGAGTTAGCCCAAAGCCGTTCTCTATTGTTTTGGTTGTCGTGGGAGAATTTAGAAATACAAATAACAAATTGTTTATATTAAAATAAATAAATAAAAAATATTTGCTGAAACATCCAACTTTGTGGCAACATTGATCCCCTCCTTTATTTGCAAACAACAGTTCAGTTCGATCAACTGATCGAACTCTCTTTCTCTCTTTCATTCGACATTTTCAATTTTTTCCATGTTCAAGAAGAAATCTAGGAAATAGAAAGTCAAACCAAAAACAGTTTTTTGTTGCTTTTAATAGCCCAGATTACAAAAAAAGAAAAAAATCTCTCTTTAGGCCAAGAAAAAAATTGCGCCAACCATCACATCAACATGGCAAGCAAAATAATTAACAACCGAAACAACAAACCAACAAAATACGACGATGGTGATGATGATGATTTCATCAAGTTTGTGTTTTTATCTGTCGCGTCCCGCCACAACAAGTACATGGTAAATTATTTTCCATACCGCCGGGCACTTATGTGCTTCAGAGCCACAGCTCGCAAACACCATGAGAAGAGAATGAAATGTTTTTTTTTTTTTCAATAGATTCGTGCGCAACAGAGTTCAGCTGAATGCCAGTAGTTGTCGTAGTTTGTTGTTGATTTGATAGAAATTAGACGTATCGAAAGTGGTGGTATTCCGGCTTTTGAAACTGTAGAAAAAAACAATATTTTTAAAGCGTAAAATTAATTAGATAGCAGTTATATATTTAATATGGGTATTGTTTTGTCCCGTTGCCGTCCTCAATCTAAAGAAATCATTGATACAAGTAATTATTAAAAATATAGAAAAATATATATCGAATTTATTTTAAACAACAATTTATTAAATTCAAATAATTGTGTTTTGTTGTGGTGTGTCACTTCTCTTTTTTGTAAATTAGTCATTCAAATATGAATTCTAATGATTTCATTTCGTGATGTGTTGTTTTTGTTTGTTTTTAATATTCCGCGAATTTTCAAACAGGTTGTTGCTAAATCAGAAAATTTACAGATCAAAGAATGTTTATAACCTGTACAACTAAATTGTGATAGTATTATAAATATGTGTGTGTGTGTGTGCCCAAAGAGTTTGAAACACCATGAAATATTGGACCTAGACGAGTCACCTTTTTGTATACCGATCGACTAGCTACATCATTCTATATGGACTCCTAGAATTAAAAGAATAGAACATAGTTGTAGACCAATCGTCCCGAAATGTGTCCAAACACGATACACGATCTGGAGGGGCTATGGCGGTCCTTGAAAAATATTCTTAAAATTTCCAAGATCATAGCTTTGTTGGCTTCTAGAATATTTATTCTTTAAAAACTTCAGACATTGGCGGTTCTTAAAATATTTTCTGTAAAAAATCGTTTTTATACGACATAAATTATCCCCGTTATAGCTGTTCTAGTCTTTAAATACATATTCTTAAAAATCCGCCAATCTTCAATCATCCATACATTCTGTCATCCGACCAACAAAATCAATTTGGCAATTTAGCTAATCGATCCAATTTTGTTTTTTCTTTTCCTTTTCAGATGAATATGATTACGATTTGGTCGTAATTGGTGGTGGTTCCGGTGGTTTGGCTTGCGCCAAGGAAGCTGTTGCTAATGGCGCCAAGGTTGCCTGTTTGGATTATGTTAAGCCCACACCATTGGGTACCAAATGGGGTATCGGTGGTACTTGTGTGAATGTTGGTTGCATTCCCAAGAAATTGATGCATCAGGCCTCCTTGTTGGGTGAATCGATTCATGTAAGCTTCGCAAAAGATTTTTAAACTATTTTTCAAATATTAAATAATTCTTTTTTTTTTGCCCAATTTTAGGAAGCCACTGCCTATGGCTGGGAAATTCCCAACAAAGAAGCTATCAAACCAAAATGGGAAAATTTGGTACAGGCTGTACAAAATCACATTAAATCGGTGAATTGGGTTACCCGTGTGGATTTGCGTGACAAGTATGTTGTGTAGTGATGTTTTTTTTTCTATTTTAAGAAAGGGAATTCATTTTTGTTTTGAATCTTTTATTATTACAGGAAAGTTGAATATATCAATGGTGCCGGTTCATTCAAGGATCCCCATACCGTTGTTGCCAAATTGAAGAACAATTCGGAACGCACTTTGACCGCTCGCAATGTTGTCATTGCTGTTGGTGGCCGTCCACGTTATCCCGATATTCCCGGTGCCGTAGAATATGGCATCACCAGTGATGATCTCTTCAGTTTGGATAAAGAACCCGGCAAGACTTTGGTTGTTGGCGCTGGATGTAAGTGAATGAAAACGAAGAAATTATCATTTTTACTACCACTTTCAGAAGAATTTGTGATGGCCTTCTAGAGGTTGAAATACTTCTAAAGGTCTTCTTTAAATGGAAGATCTTCAACAAGTCATTTATAGATAGAAATAAAAGTATTTCTTTTAGTTTTTTTCTATGGATAGAAATTTTTTTTCTAAAGAAAGAAAATCGACGTTCAATAGATGAAATGCCTCCAACAAGTCTGCTATGGGTATTTGGGCTTTTTATATATAGAAGACTATCGACAGATCTTCTATGGATAAAATACCTTTTAAAGAAAAACTTTCAAAGGTCTATTTTCTATATAAAATACATTCCACAACATTTTTATAGAAGTCCTACTAGATAAACTTCCAAAGGTCTATTTTCCTTATATAAAATACTTTCCACAAACTTTCGATAGAAGTCCTTCCACTAGTCTTTTAAAAACAATAAATATTTGTTATGGATAAGCAGCAGCTTTCGTATGGTTAAAAGTCTTTTTTGGAGGTCTTCTTTAAATATATGACTATAAGAGGAAGTCCTTCCACAGGTCTTTTATGAACATATGGGCTTCTATAAATACAAGAAAATCTAGAGAAGAACTTTCAAAAGTCTTCATAGATATTGAAAAAAACTTCGACAGATCTTCTAGAGAACTTCCAAAAATCTTCTATAGATAGAAAACACAGATCTCCTTTTTTAAAAATAAGTTTTATGGTCAGCAGACTTCCTGTAGCTTTTTGTATGGATAAAAGAAAATTCCTTCTACAAGTTTTCAAGAAGACTTCCTCCAAGTTTTCTATAAATAAATGACTTTCTACATGCCTTTAATAAATTAATGGCCTTCCACAGGTCTTCTATAGATTATACAATTTTTTTCAAAGGATAGACACTTTACAGGTCTTAGAGAACAGATTTTTCAAAGGGCTTCTATATTATAAAATCTTCCGCAGATCATCTTTTTTCTTATGGTCAGAAAACTTTCTATATCTTTCATATGGATAAAAGTCCTCCTATGAATAGAAGACCTTCAACAGGCACCATCCAGCGATCTTTAATGCATAAACGATTTTGCACATATCTCCCATTTTCTACACGGACTCAGAAATTGAATGTAAAAAAATAATATTTTTTTTAAATATTTTCCTCCCCCAGACATTGGTCTCGAATGTGCCGGTTTCCTTAAGGGTTTGGGCTATGATGCCACCGTCATGGTACGTTCCATTGTTTTGCGTGGTTTCGATCAACAAATGGCCAATATGGTTGCTGATTCCATGGTTGAACGTGGCATTCCCTTCTTGCACAAAACCATTCCCAAGTCTGTGGAAAAGACCGAAGATGGTCGCCTCTTGGTGAAATACGTTAACACTGAAACCCAAGAGGAGGGCAGTGATGTCTACGATACCGTTTTGTGGGCCATCGGCCGTAAAGGTTTGGTTGATGATTTGAATTTGGGTGCCGCCGGCATCGAAGTTAAGGGTGACAAGATCGCTGTCAACGAAGCTGAACAAACCAATGTACCACACATTTATGCCGTTGGTGATATTATTCATGGTCGCCCCGAATTGACCCCCGTTGCCATACATGCTGGTCGTTTATTGGCACGTCGTCTCTTTGCTGGCTCCAAGCAAATCATGGACTATTCGGATGTGGCAACCACAGTATTCTCTCCCTTGGAATATGGTTGTGTCGGCATGGCTGAAGAAGATGCCATCAAGAAATACGGTGAAGATAATGTTGAGGTGTTCCATGGCTTCTACAAGCCCACTGAATTCTTTATCCCACAAAAGTCGGTACGTTATTGTTATGTTAAGGCTGTGGCCGAACGTAGTGGCGATCAAAAGGTGTTGGGTCTTCACTATTTGGGTCCTTCTGCTGGTGAAGTTATTCAAGGTTTTGCTGCTGCTGTCAAGTAAGTTTGAAGGAAATTTCGAAATGCCTGAGAATTGTATTAATATCGATTACTTTTTCCAGATCTGGCCTTACCATGAAAATCCTCTTGAACACTGTTGGTATTCATCCCACCACCGCTGAAGAATTTACTCGCTTGGCCATTACAAAACGCTCTGGCTTGGATCCCACTCCCGCCTCCTGCTGCAGTTAAACAACACAACAAGAATACCATTCTTTTTTGTAACCCTAATCTGTGTAGTAACCGAAAAAATCATCTGAAGCGTTCAATGTTCGTCGTGCGTGCTCTAGTAATTGTATATTTTTAATTTTCAATTTCATTTACATGTCTCTCCCACACACCACCACCACAGCACAGTAGAACTGAATGTCACAACACATCAGTTTATATTTCATTTCTTCTTTTTCAATATTGGTCTAATTTTTCTCTAAAATTATTTTGAAAATAATTTTTTGTTACGTTATAATGTAGAAGAATGTACCCTGTGTCTAGCTGTATAGCAAAACAACAAACAAACAAAAAATGTAACTAAGCTTAAATTTATTATTAAATTCACAATGTGAAGGAAATCAGCAAATAATTTGTAATAATAATAAGAAGAAGAACAAGAACACCACATATATACTTTATATTAAAAGAAAGAGAAAAAATAAACGTTTTTAGAAAATAAATAAATTGTTTTTTTTTTAATTTTTAAAGGACATGTAATTTGAAAGAAAATAATTTTTCTTAAAGAATATTTTTACTTATTTAGCTGGCTTGTGACAGAACATTCGTTCCATAAGCCGAGCTTAAAAATATTTCCAGGCGCGTCGATCTTTTCGCAGTTTTTCCAATTTGAAAGACCATATTCGGCATTGTTATCTTATACTTGATCTTTCCATTATATTCTGCGTGAACCATCAGCTGGTTCGCTGCAGCTCAATACGTCTAACGATGTCGATGTCCGAGAATAGCTGGTGCAACTCATGGTTCATTGGACGGCGAAATTCACCGTCAACGCAGATCGGCCAATAGATCTTTCGGAGAATTTTTATTTCAACCATTCCAAGAGCTGCCTCATCTTCTTGCGCAAGTACCCATGCTTCAGATCCATCAGCGTCTTGTAGGGTGTGAGTTTGGTCTGGCGGGAGATGGCCTTGCTTTTGAGTTGTTTGCTTATACCATAGTAGCATCTGTTGGCCATCACAATCCTTCTCCGAATTTCAAAACTGATGTCTTTCGTTTTCTTTATGTCGGTACCAAGGTATATAAAATCTTTGACTACCTCGAAGCTGTAGTTCTCAAGTTCCACAGTTGGTCCGAGTCTACTGGACGTCTTGCGCGTTGATACCATCAGCATGGTCTTCTCGCCGTTTACTGCCAGACCCACTTTGGCAGACTCCTTCTCAATTTGTTCAAAGGTGGCTGTTACCGCTCGCAATTTTGGATTTATTGAAGGGCTCCGATATGTCCTTTCCGACTTTAACTGCTGACTTTGTGCCACTTAAAGTTATCCTGCATAGCTGTATTAATTTTGCAGGAATGCCGAACGTAGACATGGCTTTAAACACCTTGTACGGATAGGGCTGTCGAATGCGGCTTTATAGTCGACGAATTGGTGGAATGTGTCGATGTGTTTTCGTGGGTCTTTCCCAGGAATTGGCGCAGTGTGAAGATCTGCTCAATGGTGGATTTGCGAGGTTTGAAGCCAATCATTGGGCATGGATTCCTCTAGCCAAATTGTACTAATCAGCTGGTGCATGCTCCTGACCAGCATCTGACCACCAGTCTTGAATAGTTCAACTGGTAACCCGTTGGTTACTCCTGCTTTATTGTTCTTGAACCTGTCACCAGGTTCCTTCTTCATCTCTACAGGTGGATGTACCTGCACCAAAACCTTCGGTTTGGTGTTTTACTCGTTGGTAAATTTCCGGAAATTCGCTCCTCGGATTGATAGAACGTCTAATTGATCGAACGTCTATCACAACATGATCAATTTGATTTCTCGTTGTTTGATCAGGAGAGATCCACCAGTTGGCCTTGTGTATATCGAGATCCTTGAACTACCATGTTTATTGCTGCCGCGAAGTCAATCAACCTCATGCCGTTGTCGGATGTTTCTTCATGAAGGCTGAATTTTCCAATGGTGGGGCCAAAGATATTTTCCCTTCCGATTTTTGCATTAACATCTCCTAGCAGAATTTTAATGTCATGACCAGGGCAACGGCCATATGCTGTTTCTAGGGCAATTCGCTCATCTACTGGAGTGAATCTGGAGACGAGGTCTTTTATTCTCCTGTTAACCATAAATCCGCAACCAAATTCATGTCTCGTTTCATGGCAGCAACAATAAAGGGCGTAATCATCTGATTTATTTACGCCAGTCCCTTTCTATCGCATTTCCTGTAAGGTAATAATATCGGCTTTGTACTTCTTGAACACATCCGCCAAAGCGAACACTGCGAGCCTGTTCTGTACAACGTGCGTACATTCCAAGTGCAGATTCGCAAATCGTGGTCCTTTAAATGTTTTCGGAGGTCGTCAACATTAGGGGGTATGGTTTTTTTCTTCTTTGTTTTTTCAACTAACCCGACGCCTCAACCCATTTTTTATAGTTCTTATGGAGTTCAACGGGTGATGAAAAATAGCTACCCCAGGTGACACCGCGGGGAGGTCAGTGTCCACAATTGAGATGGAAGAGGGACCAACATAAGCCCTGTTAAAGCCAATCAGAGCAGTTGCTTGGTATCTATCATCCCCTATGCCACCCACTAGATTTTAATTTACTAAATAAAAAACAATTTTAATTTTTTTTTTAATAATTCCACTTTTGTTGTTGTTTTATTTTTACACATGTGTTATATGTTTTTGTTGGTATTTTATTTGTATGAATGTATATTCTTATAAATACATTTTTATATTCTTGTTGTTGTTAATTTATAATATTTAAATAATAATAGTCATTATTATTATTGTTGGTGTAATTATTTGTTATCTCTGTAAGAACATTAAAAACATTTATAAATTATTGAACAGTTGTATTAACATAATTTACACAATATAAAATATAAATTATTTTTTATCGTTTTATTACATATTTGATTTTTTCTATTTTCAAATAAATTTTTTTTCCCATTAAATATTTTTTTTGTTAGTTAAAATATTGTTTATAAATTAAACAAAAAAAGAATATCTTAAAATATATACCACATTGTTTGTTGTATATTTTGTTTGTGTAAATTTCTCTTATGTTTTTTTTAAATTATTTTTTTTTATTTAAATTTTGTTTTTTACGTGTCTCCAATTTTGGCCTACAAAAATAAAAAAAACATTTTACCAAAAAATAATCACATATTTGAGTATTTACATATCATGTGTTTTAATGTCATTTCCCCATATTTTCACTCATATATCGTTCGTTTTCAATTCGGTTTTATATCATTTTTTTTTAATTTTCTAACATATATTTTTAATTTTTATTTTTTATTTATTTTTTTTTTTTTAATTTTTTCATTTATATATATTTTTTGGTAGTTAACTTAATTTCTTGCTCAAGTCTTTTTCTTCATCTTCTATGTCAACCAATTTTTCAAAACTGTCATATTCTATTTGAAAATTTATTTTGTGATCTGAATAGATTTCCAAAATCATTCCAACATTTAAATATAGTAAATTGAGTATGACCTTCCTTATTCATTTTTTAATCAAATTTTCGTAAAAAAAGAGTAAAATAAAAAAACACATTTTTTTTAATTATCCAAAAACAACAAAGCCTCGTACATATATATATATATATATATATATTACTACTTAAGTTCCAAGAATTTAAAAAATGGGCACATGGGCAAAATCAAGAAGGCTAAACTGGGTTTGGGTCTGCTATAGTGAGTCAATCGAAGGAGTCAACGAAGCGGCCAGATTTCGCAGAGTACTATTTAAGGATCCAAAATCCATAGGTAGTATTAAGCAGATTCACTACTTAAGTTCCAAGAATTTAAAAAATTTGAATTTTTTAAAAAAATATTTTTTCAAAGTCTAACATAGGCGTGAATTTTTTAAAGAATATTTTTCAAGGATCACCATATGCGTGGATTTTTTTAAAGAATATTTTTTCATGGATTACCATAGGCGTTAATTTTTAAAAGAATATTTTTTCAAGCAGAACCATAGGCGTGGATTTTTTAAAGAATATTTTTTCAAGCAGAACCATAGGCGTGCATTTTTTAAAGAATATTTTTTCAAGCAGCACCATAGGCGTGGATTTTTTAAAGAATATTTTTCAAGGCGTGGATTTTTTAAAAGATTGGGATATATAAAAGAAAATTCAATAGGCACATGGGCAAAATCAAGAAGGCTAAACATGGGGTTTGGGTCTGCTATAGTGAGTCAATCGAAGGAGTCAACGAAGCGGCCAGATTTCGCAGAGTACTATTTAAGGATCCAAAATCCATAGGTAGTATTAAGCGATGTGATGGATCGTGGACAAACTCTGGCATTGAGACTCTTGATCCTCTATCGTTAAACCACTTTCCTGGTTGCAAGGACTATAGGGAGGGTGCGCAGTGTGTGCAACAGCCTACAGTTCGAACGTGGGATGAGGAGAAGTTTATAGAAGATACTATAGCCACCCAAAACTGGTATGGGCGATAAACAGTTTTCAACCCTATATATTTCCTGGCCAAGATGGTATAATAACGGCCATGCTGCAACACGCAGATGAACAAGTAATATCATCTCTGCAGGACATCTTTAGGGCTTGTTTACTTCTGTCGTATATACCAAGTCTATGGAAAGAGGTAACAGTGACCTTCATCCCGAAAGCCGGGAAGCCGAGTCATACGCTACCAAGAGACTATAGACCGATTAGTCTCTCTTCCTTTGTACTATAGACCGATTAGTCTTTCTCCCTTTCTACTCAAGACTTTAGAAAGGTTACTAGACTCGGAAATGAGGAACACTATTGACCATAGTAAGCTTAGCAACTCCCATCATGCATACATCAATGGCAGATCAGTGAATACAGCCCTGCATGAGGTTGGTTGGATGCATCGAGAAGAATATGGAGTCCTCTGGCTACACCTTTGCAGCATTCCTCGATTTTGAGGGAGCTTTCAATAATGTGAAAGCTCCCTCAATCTGCTCTCGTAAGCATAGGTATCCCCTCACTCCTTACGGAATGGATTGATAGAATGCTGGAAAGCAGAATTATCAACTCATCC